AGTTAATAATTAAGAAAGAGCTGGCCAATGAAAAGCCTGAGCCATTGGCCAGAAAGTTTAAATTAATATGTCTCTGTGTGTTTACTTGGGACTAATTGGCTGAGAGAACAGGCTGAAAAGAAACTCTGACTACACCCTTCCTCAATAATTTGGGGCTGGCCTTCTAACTTGCTTTAACAAACAGAGCACAGAACGGAAACAGCCCAGGTTCCAGGCCTACTTTTTGAGACACCTGGAAGTTCTACTTTTGTACACTCTGAGCCACTATGTATATAAGAAGTTCAGCTGCCCAGACAGAGAGACCATGTGGAGTCAAGAGGTCCTGAGACTACACGAAGATGCCCAGCCTTTCGGTTGCCCCAGCTGTCTTCATGACTTCTGTTCCAGCTGCCATCTAACTACAACCTCATGAGAGACACCAAGACCAGCAGTATTGCTCAGCTGAGCCCCAACAATTTACAGAACTAAAGAAAATAATGACAGTTCTAAGTAACAAAGATTTGGAGTGTTTGTTATGCTGTAATAAATAACTAAGTGCCATTCTGTATTTTAATTGCCTACTGTCTTTGTTTGCACTACTACATTGCTTCCTCGGTGAGGACGGGGTTCTGTTTTTATAATTTTTCTTTATTCTTGGGAATTTCATACATATATACAGTGAAATATGGTTGTATACACTTATACACTCCTCACTTCCCTCTCCAAGCTCCTTTGTATCTCTCCAACACATCTCCTTCTCAATTTCAAATCTTCTTTTTCCTTTGATAGTCCATAAAGTTAAATCAGCACTGCCCATATGTACACGGATGTGAGGCCATCCCCTAGAGCACAGGAAACCCACCAGCAACCACATCCTCAAAAAACAATATTCTCTCTCCCAGTTGTCAACTGCCAACTGCTCCTCATATAAGGGGTGGGGCCTGGAGGGCACCTCTCTCAACTATATCAGAATTTTAGCTGGCTTGATTTTGTGCCCGTAACCACAGCTGCCATGAGTTCATGAGTGCGATAGCCACGTCATGTCCTGATGACAGCTATCACAGCACCGCCCACCCCCCCATCCTCTAGCTCTTGCATTCTTTCTGCCTCCTCTTCGGAAATCTTCCCTAAGCCCTGGGGGTTGGAAGATGAGCTGGGGGTTTAGAACTGAGCACTCAGTCACTTCTCAGCACTGGATCAGTTATTTACCTCTGCACTGACTGCTACCCACTGAAAAAACAACTCACTGTGTAGACTAGGCTGCCCTCAAACTCATGACAATTCTACTCCACTTCCTGGGATTATAGGCCTGTGCCACTACACTAGGCTACATTCACTTTTTTTTTTTTTAAAGATTTTATTTATTTATTATGTATACAACATTCTGCTTCCATGTATATCTGCACACCAGAAGAGGGCACCAGATCTCATTACAGATGGTTGTGAGCCACCATGTGGTTGCTGAGAATTGAACTCAGGACCTCAAGAAGAGCAGTCGGTGCTCTTAACCTCTGAGGCATCTCTCCAGCCCTACATTCACTTTTTAAAGTTGTTAAATATTCTAGGCATTCTCTAGCACTGAATAAACTCTCATAAACTTGATTAACATAAATTTAAAATGTCTACAAAAATAAAGACAACAACAAATGTCTACAATCCTCCCTGTTGTAAGAACAGAATGGCTTGTATACACATCGCAAGAAGTGATTTGCTAGGTACCTAGACAATAGGTTCTTAATGAAAACAGCTGGCCTTTGTAAAAAGATTGAATCAACTCGACTTTGGGCCATAATCCAAAAACAGACTGTGAGAGCAACAGAAGAAAATGGCTGATGGCTTCAGACCTTGGCATTTCTAGAAAAGGCAAAAGCCAGTGTCATTCCAACAGTGTTAATTGAATGGATGTGAGGGTTCCAGCTACTTCCACACTACTCCTCTCTTAAGTCATCTCTTGATATCCCCAAGATTCTGGAGGAAAAAAAAAAATGTTTCTTCTTTTCTCGTCCTCCTTCTAGACAGTGTCTAACTAGTCATCTGACTGGCCCTGAACTCATGCTCTATCTGCTTCAATCAACCAAGTGCTGGGATTACTGGTGCGTGCCACCACCCCTGGCTTTTGTGTATGGGGGCAGATACCTTATTCGCTCTTTCAAACCCCTTCATCTAACTTCAAACAGGACAGGGCCTCAGTGAATGTACGTGGAACAAACACATTTTTTTCTCAATAAGTTATCCCATGATAAGGGCCCGGTGCTTCTGGCTGTGTGCAGTTAAGAGACATTGTGTAAACATATATTGTGGGCTGACAGTGTGTGTTAAGTCCCATGTGGGACACAAAATGGGAAGATGCCACCCCTGCCCTGAGGGAAAGAACTGGAAGAGTACACTTACACAGATGAGATAATTAAATAACAGGACAACATATAATTACTGCTAAACTGTGTAGTAAAAATTAAGCACTAGAGGGATTGGGGAAAGGAGAGAAGTGGTGAGGGCTCCACCAGTTGGGAAGTCTTCAAACCAAACCTGAGATCTGGCTGAGCCTTGAGGAAGAAAGCCAACTACAGTCAGGCTGAGAGGAAGGACAGCCCAGAACTCCCAGGAGGAACAGAGCCAAGCCAGCACACTTGTGGTTTTATTTCAGGCAGGGCATGGACTATGAAAGGTGGCTGTCCCAACTCCCCAAGCAAGAACATTTCTGAATAGTTCCCCATATTCAGGCTCCTGGACCTTCATGTGGTTTCCTCTGCTTGCAATGCCCTTTCCCCTTCTCCACCACTTGTGTTTAAAGGCCCAAGTCAAATGCAAACCTCATGGATGAATCCTTCCATGTTACAGCCCCTACCCACTGTTCACACTTCTAATAAAATACAAGTTGCAGCTCCCTGCTTACTTCCTTCACTACTATAATCAATACTAATTTATATTTCTTGGGCTCTATGTGCCAGGGCCTATGCTAAACATTTACGTTGCTTCAAATCTTACAATTACATGAGGTATTGCTTTTCCCTATTTAACAGGTAACAGGCTAAGTGTGCTTAAGAACCTTTAAAAGGAGTAGTGGCAGTGCAGGCCTTTAATAACAGAGGCAGGCAGATCTCTGAGTTTGAGGCCAGCCTGGTCTACAGAGCAAGTTCTAGGACAGCCAGGGCTACACAGAGAGACAGGGCTATACCCTGTCTTGAAAAGCCAAAACCAAACCAAACCAAAACACCCTGCAAAAATAACAAAGCTAGGAAATCAGAAAGCTGGTATTCACAGCAGTATTTGTGGGGCTACAGCCCATT